AGGGAAACGAACTGTTAGGCGCGCGCGCACCATGGCGTGATCGGAATCAAGTGGTGTGCCCCAAAAAGAACGGCAGGCTTGAACAGTGGCTGTCAACCGGTGACTGATGGCCACGGGATCCAACTGGGTCCACGGTTGATTTGTAGTTGGCAGCAGCCAGGTTACGCGGCGGGAACGTTTATGTTGAAAGTTCGTACTTGCCAGAAACTGTTCGTGATCAGCACACAAGTGAAGGAGGCGATCTCCGTTGTCTGTGCGGGGAGCATCGATTCAAAATCGACCACCAAAATGTGATTCCATGGAGCTCACACGGCCTACTTGAGCATTCAGATCGCCTGCAAGGATCACAATGTCAGTGCTTTATGCCTGACGAATGAGCCTGGATAGCTCTCGATAGAAATTATCCTTCTCCGCATCAGAACTGCAGTCCGTTGGGGCATAAGCCGACACGACAAACAGGCACCGCTTTTTATGCCGCGATGGACTGAGCTTGAATGAACTGGATAACCGGACGGCGCAGAGACGATTGTTCACTGGGATCCAATCCAGTAAAGCGCGTTCAGCTCTGGGGCTGAGTGCAACTCCAACGCCATATATTCCACGAGTCTCTGCTTCTGGGTCACCAGACACACGGAGGGAGAAATGTGAAAGACCTGGGTTCATCCTTGACGTTCTGAGATGCAGAACCACGCTCGGGTCTTGTGTGCGTGTTTCGGAGACACAGCATACATCAATTTTAAGGGAGTACAAGGTTTCGGCAAGCATTGCCTGTTTGCCAATTTGACATAGAGTACGGACGTTAAGAGCTCCCATATAGAACGTATCCCGTGGATTTAGAAAGGTGTTATTTTATTTAAGGTTTCTAGGCAGCGTGGAGCATAAGACCCTTGGGTCAGATGACTGACAGTCAAATGGCCCAGCGACGTTTGCTTATGCGGTGAGAGGGGGTTGGGGAGGGACATCGGTGGACACTGAACTGCGCGGGCAAATGATACTTCCCGGTTACCCAGGCCGAGGAAGAGGGTTTGGTTGAGACTTCGACTCAAACGTCTGACCCACAAGGCAGTGAGATGACGTAGGGTTTTGTTCAGGGACCCTGATCCTAGCCTCTGACTCAAAAGTCTGACCCATGAGGCAGTGGCCAGTTTGGGGTTTTGTTCGGGGACCCTAACACTAGCCTCTGACTCGAACGTCTGACCCACTAGGCAGTGGGAGGATGTAGGGTTTCTTTGGGGACCCCTGTCCGGAGCCGACGACTGAATAGTTTGCTTAGCTGCAGAGGGTTGGTCTAACCCGAGAGCGCAGTGAAGAAGGCATTACTGTCTCAATCCCGATGCGGCTACGCACAGCAGGTGCGTTTTGAACACCACCGGGCTCAGTGGTTTTAAAAGTAGTTCGACCGTATTGGATAATGCGCCGGCGGTTTTTGGGGCCGACATTTTCTAACCCACCCCTCCTCGGTGGAAGGCAGCATCGCTGCTTCCATAAATATGGACATGCTGGTCGCCTAGGGGAAACACCTTACTGCCTCCACACTCCTGTCGCAGAGGACAGTACGACTTTACCCCCAGACCGCCCCATAGCACGATTACTCGTAGGGGGGGGTCTCGCTGCTCTTGGTCTGGCTGCCACCCTCTGGCCTTCTTTGCATGGTTGCACCTTGTGGAACGAAGTTCCAACCAGTGTAGCCCGCGGGATCATTGCAGCACTGAAACCCGACCACCACGTTAAGGCGGCAGCTTTAGGTCGGGACGGCAGGTAATAATTGTGGCGAAACCATATTCTACGAACTTCATCTGCGTTTGTTCAGTAGTCGCACTTGGGCAGTGAACAGTATGTTGAATCGCACGTATGCAGACAGTACAGTTAGGTAGACCATGGTTCTATAGGAAATTGACCGTAAATCGTGAGGAGAATTAAAGAAAGGCTTACGGCTATATTGAAAATTGGGCATTCAGCAACACAGGATAACACACGAAGTCCAGTGTGCTGTCGGACAAGTAAAACGGAAAAAAATGTTGTTCAGTTCAAAGTTGGACAAATATTCAACAACAAGCCCAGACATAAATGTAAACAAATCGTCTGCAGAAAAACGGTCGAGGTAGAGTCCGCATTGTATAAAATAGAACAGTTCGGTCTTAAATCTTGTGCAGTCACCGGAAGGGTGATGAATTTGCCTGAGGAATATGGAAACAGCTAAGTGCGTCACGTAATTAACACTCTCCCGGTGTCAAGGGTGAACATTGAACTTCAATGGTTTGCTCGAAAAAACGCAATTTTCGAAAATCTCCCTTCAACTGTCCCTTCATCGTTCGAACCATGACGTAACGAAGTCGTCCATCTTTTCCTAACTTAACCGTTTGTAGAACACCCTTCGGCCATGAACCCCAAGATACGGACCTATCGGCTGAGAGAATCAAGTCCCCCACCTTAACCTCACGGCCTGATTCCACCCACTTGTGTCTTTGATGCAGCATAGGTAAGTATTCCCTCATCCATCGGACCCAGAAAGCATCTGCCAACTTTTGCGCCTTGCGCCATCGTCGAGTTAGTTTCATGTTCGGTCCAGGTGAGCTTTCGACTGACGGGTTACCGCGGAGTAACAAGAGGTGATTAGGAGTAAGTGCCCCAAGATCGATAGGGTCATTCTATAACATTGTCAGGGGTCGGTCATTGATGATTTTTTCTTCTTTGGTTAGCGAAGATGTAAGGACTTCATCAGTTACTAGTTGATCACCAAGTAATGGTCTTAATATCCTCCGAATACAGCGTACCATTCTTTCCCAGATGCCTCTGCCTGTGGCTGGCCTTGGTGGAGAAAAGAACCAGTCACATCCTCGTTGCAGCGGAGCTTTAGACACTCTCTCCTGGTTCATCTGATGTAGGTTCTGTTTGAGCTCAAGTTCAGTTCCACAAACATTAGTGCCATTAGCTTTGTAGATACAAACTGGACATCCTCGCTGAGCAGTAATCCTAGAAAAGGAGCAGAAAAACGAGTCCGTTTCGGAGAAAAATCTACCTCAATATGCACAGCAAGCAATGCCAAGCAAGTATAAACACAACCGGAACATTTTCCGAACTCACGACCTCGCTTTACCAATAGCGGTTCGAAATAATCAACACCAGCCTCTGCGAAGGAGGCTTCATGAGCTAAGATTCTACCCTCGGGAATGGGAGCCATAATTTGTACTTCAGGTTGAGAATGCCAGCATTTGCAGTGAAAAGAAGGATATAGAAATCTCCGAATGTCTGCTTGACTTTGATAACGAAATATTTTTCACGTAGCGCATTAAGAACATACAACGTTCCAGCATAGCCTTTCAGCATATGAATATGATGGACGAGGAGCCCGGTTACGAAATGATGACTTGAGAGAATTACTGGATGCCTCATTTCGAAGGGCACTGAAACCCATCTAAGGCGTCCTTCAACACGTAGAATACTTTCGTAGATAATTAGTGAGAGTCGTCGTACCCGAACCGGTAATCGCAGGTCCTCCAAGCTTTATAAGATACTGTGAATTTCAGTAGTTTTATTTCGTTTGCGAAACAAGCTGTTTGAACCGACCTAAGGATAAGACATTTCGCTCCAACAAATCCTTTCTGGTCAATCTACCACATAACTCGTCTCCAGGCAGCACAGATCTTCTGCGTCTCATCCATACGCAGAAACGGTGCAGTCATATCACTAGTCTATTAGCAGACTCCAACTGGACACGCCTTCGAAACAATCAATCCAGTAAACATAAGCGGAGGTCGTATAATAAGATATGGTAGGATTTTCATGAGACGCCGAGGGATGGCAGAAAACTGGATAATTGATTTTCAAGGCACTCATTGCCTGAACGCACTATTGTTATATCCCCGTTAAAATGTTGCCCATAACGAAGAAAATTGTAAAAAATATAGATCAAATTTTATTTCTGGTTAAGTTTTGAAGACGGAAGCGGTATTCAACTTTCAAATCTGGATGAGCTTCGTACTCTCGGATAGCTACGTGCATGCAAAATGCTCAGAGATTCAACTACTCAATGTAGTAGAAGGCACTCTAAAGATGAGAACACTTTTCACTGAAGTTCTTCATTTGTCCCACTATGAACAGAACAAAAAGTAGAGCATAATTGTTTCTTAGTAATGCATGAAACAAGCTGATTTAGTGTACCGCAAACCAAATATTATTCCCGCGTTTGCGGTCGGTTTAGGATCAAACTGAGCAGTTGCCGTGCAACTGATTGACACAACTGCACGGAAGAGCTTACGAAAGCGGTAACCCGCTGCTTATTTCTGGTAAAGGACGTCAGGAAACTGATACAGCCATCTTAACAATCAAAGTTCGGCATCAACAAAAGCTGTCTGATATTCGTTGCAATGCAGTAATATGTAATATCACAATATTCAAGCTGCGACTGAATGCAGAATGGCCCTTTCGACATCGGGGTAGGTTTAGTCAAACACAGTGAATAATCTGTCATTAACAATATTTCAGGATACGCAAACGTCGCTTGCGAAAACGCAGAAGTAAAGTGGGCATATACAACAAGCCGTCAGTTAGTAGTCAACTAACACATGTTAGCACAGCAAAAAGTTAGGTTCTACGTTTTTGTGAGGCACTGTATGGTAAATGAAACCTTATGGATGACGAACCAATGTTGAAAATCTACTTAAAATGTAGTGTTTAGCAACATAAGCTGCCATGCCAACTATGAGGTAGGCCGAGAATGGTGAAGTCTATATTGGGAATTTATAAGCTTATTCATGTTTGCTACTAAGTAAAGGTTCAAGTAGAATAATCCCTCAAGCAGTTCTCGGCAAAATCGTCGTTAGAAGCTAAAGCCAAACGTATTCATCTTATCCAAGGTCATCACAGGTTTATGCAAACTGTTGGTAGGAAACTACGTCTGTGTCAGCAGCGAGGCCTTTGATGATAAGATGATAACCGATGCTCTCACAAAACAGTTATTTATGTTCAGCTGACTATTGAACCCCATGGATTGATTCAGCTGAAAACATCGCACGGCTTTGCAATATGCAAGGTGATTCTGAAACCGTTTTGCTTGAGGTGCTCCAAAACGTAGCATGTCAATTTCGACGAAAACAACCTCGGATATATTTTCTGTCCACCATTTTCTATCGCCCATCTGACAGATTCCTGGTTGTGCACGGCCTTGCCCGAAAATTCTGCGGGTTTGTTAACCCATTCTGGAGAACGGGGATTTTACCTACCTTGCATATGGGGAGCAACAACGGAACAAAATCTGAATCAGTCACTTAACACGACCGAGGTGCTATCAACTGAACAGACTATGGATGACGCAGACAGCGCATGGAGGCTCTCTGGGTGCACAAACTTAAGCTGCGCAAAGGACTCGCAAATACGGCAGCTCTATGCGGTTGTTGGTACTTAAAGCCCGATTGCGGCTGCTGGGTTCCCTTTGGAAAAAAATTTTAATTGATATTTCTTTTTGAACGTAAGATGATTAATCTTCTGGAATATGTTTTTAGATGTATTTTTCGGATAAGCATGTTCCAAACAACGTCAGAGTGATACTAGAAAACCGCATTTAAATTGCTTTCAGTGCGTACTGTTACGCAAAATCCCAAGCTTTAGTTTAGGCACCTTGTTATTCCTAAGCAGATTTTGTGCTTTCGGCGGCAACCCACTAGAGCTAGGGTGTGAAGGAGAGCACGTTCAAATTGTTAATACACAATTGGAACCTCAAAACGTGATGGTGACACTTTGTGTACATGAATATATGTTGCGCAAGCAAAACTTGTTTATCCCCGTCCAACAATGACTTCCAGAGAAGCAACGAACTACGATTAGGCTTGTCATCAGACTCGTATTGAACGATCGAGCACGATCTTTCAACATTCTCCTGATTGCTAATGTAAGTTGGAGTTTCCCAGGAAAACGCTCTCGGATCTGACATTCCACCTAACCAATAATTAAACGGTTGGTCAAAATAAATGGCACGTATATCAGCGCTTTTAACTCGGACAGCAATGTCGTTTGAGAAGCCTATTTTAGATAACCAAAGGTGAGGGTAGAAATGAAAAGCTCCAGCTGGACGGTGCTCGTTTGACAGCAACTATATCTTGGTCACACCGGGGCCTATATGGTGGATAAGGCATCGTTCCCTGGATTTTATTTAGGCAGGGTAAAATAATTTTTCGCTACAACTTTTCCAATGCAGCTGGCACAATCAAGATTTCTGCGAACAATATCCTAATATTTTCACTGATCAACGATTATTTGGTAACACCCGTAACCCCGAGTGGCTATCATTAATCGAGTGTGGGCGTAGCCACCACAAGCAATGAGAGCGCAAGCTGGTGATTTCGCCGCAAGTCGATTACCTGTATTGCCTAAAATGGAAATGTGTGCATGCATTTGGAATGCACTGGCCACAATCCACCAACAGATATCAGGACGGTTAAAAATAGCCACAACTGGGATCGGAAATTCAGCAGGGTCCAAGGGATCTCCATTAATCACTTGGAATCACCAGCAACCACATTTAACTCCCAGTAACCCATTTAAATTTCGAAGGCATGCTTGAAACGAAGTTACAAAGTTTTCAAAATTGCAAAGATGCGTACAATTAATCCATTGGGCATCGTGTAATGAGAGCTGCATGTAGTGAAGCCGACATCCGCGTGACTGAATTTTGGGGAATGAAGAGATTGCACGCGATGAAGACTGAGATAGTGCCCAACCCCGGTATTGCAGAGCCATGAAAACGATGAAAAATGACGGCAAAAAAGAACATCACAACTACGCTAGCGTTAAGGTATAATTCGTAGTCCAGCCTTGCACCGGATGATCGGCGTCCATTAGTCGGAGGTGCATTTACGATAGGTTTCATAATGCATGTGTGATCAGGTCGCAGAATGAACGGTTTGAAAATAAGTAGACATCATAAATGTTGAGTACATTTTTATTTGCGTAGAAATGCTTAAAACCTCAAATAATCAGGAACACTTTTTACTAAGCAAGCAAATCGTGAACTACGTCAAAACATTGTAGTCAAGGGGGCTGTAAAAGAAGAAGCGATTAGTCACTTGCGTCAGTCACACAAGCTCCTGTAATTTAGTGCCACGACTTTTGTTGCGCTTCTCGTTTATTGTCAAAACACACAACTTGATCGATTCGCCAGTTTGCACAACAAACCACATGACACCCGCATGATTCATATTCTAATCTTCCATTTACTCAGCCCTCGTTAAGATGAACGCCGGCGTATGACTTATTAGATATACAATAACCTTATCGCGTGGCAAACGCAATGAGAATATTTTGAGCCGTATTTGCAAACATGCGTTAACTGGTGAGGTAGCCGTGTGCATGCTGTACGTGCAACCATGAAAGTGGGAATTAAGTAACAGCGATTGTAAGCAATATGTTGATTCCATGGCATAGAAGACTCTACATGTACACAGATGTACCACAACTAGCGGAGTCTCGGCTTATTTGCGCCTGCCTTTGTCATTATTACGTCAACAGGAGGAAGAGCAGGAACAATGGTTGAAATTAGCAAAGAAATGTGTTTAGAACAAATGTGTCAGGGTCTCCTGCAATTGCCCATTTGTATAAGGATATGCTTTGCTACATTTTATGCTGTATTGCAATCTTAGAGTCTCAAGGAAACATCCTTGCTTGAAGTTCTGGGATTTGATCCGTAATCCAAAAAACCATTACATCTCACAACAGTCATCCATACATAACCGTCCAGTTTAGTTCAATTTCCAGGTGTATAGCGAGTACAAAGACAGTCAGTTGGAGCTCGCAAATAACTGTGACTTGAGTGAAACTTCAGTACGGAAAAACGGATTTGATAGATTCCTGACATTGAATTGGTTCAGCTTGTTCACACGGCACTGATGTGGAAGCTGCATCCGATCGCCTTTGATTCTATGGCCCACCTACCGCCATGATCCGTAACATATATTTTATTCATTCAGATTGTTGAGGTT